GATAAATATGAGAAATAAGTCTTATATTTAGGATTAAAATTAACTTAGCAATTACATTCTATATTAAAGACGATAGAAGTAATTTTTATAATAAGAGATGGATAGATTGTGATACTGGAGACTAGAGGAAATAATGTTTTTTGATCTTCTTTCATTAATAAAAGCAAATTATTAGATTCGTTCCGACAAATAACTTTTTCTCTTGGCCTCACCCAGTAAGAGCAAACTGCAAATCATATTATTGCATAACGAAGCTGCCATTTAACTTTATGAAATATCTAAGAGTATTGTGATACATATACACATGCGCATATATATATATATATAACCAAAAACATGCAAGAAGCTAATAGTATGAGTAGAAGCATTATTAACGTTTGCCTTCTGATGAAGAAAAGAAGCTTACACATAGCAGGAGAGCAAGAACACCAAAACGAAGCAGCCCCATAGAGAGAATTTGAAGTCTAGAACGAGCAAGTGAAGTGAGAGGCACTGAACCATTGAACCAAGTTGCTTCCTTTATAGAGACGGATTGGCCATTGTAGAATAACTAAGGGAAACACATGAATAACAATAATGAAACACGTGACAATAAGTTAGGTCAATAATTTAGCCTGAAAAAACATTGAAGTATACATTTGGCAAATTAACTCTATATAACGTTTCAATTTGATCCGTTAATTTTAAAAAGTATATTTTTAATATTTTAACTCTAAAATCATTAAGTTTAGATAATCAGTTTTTGTAATAATCATGGATAATTGTTTTGAAAATTAAACTTAATATATTAGTATTTAAAAATATTTTATCAATATTTATATAAGATCTCAATATCATTTTTTTAAAAATAACTTTATGGTTAAAAGATTAAGAACTTTTTAAAGTTGATGGACCAAATTAAAATTTTGTATAAAGTTAAATGATCAAATATATATTTTAGCCATATAAGAGATAATGTGAACTAAGATCATATAGGAAAGACCAAATTCAACTTCCTAACTAGTTTTTCCATTTGTTCCTTTTTATAAGAAATAAATCTCTCTCATAGTAGTGTCCTTAAATATAAGAAACAAATTCTTTCTCGACAATTTTAAATTGGTCTATCCACTTTGACCTCATAATATATGCCATTTATTATCCATGTAATACATTTTCACTCATCATCTCTCATATATTTTTTCTTTACAAAATAATATATAATTGAACAAATATGTATATAGCATTATTATATATGTTTATTGCTTTTAACTAAATCTAACTAATATTTTAAATTGTCTGATTTTAATAGTTACTCCTCTGATCTTTAATATAAAGCCTATTTAACTAATTTGATTATATTAAGAAAGTTAGGTAAATTAGTTAATTATAAGAAATATGACATATTTTTTCTAAAACACTATAATTGTCTTTCTTAATATCTTTCCTCCTTCACTTACTTGATTATGGTTGAGAAAATATTTATAGGGGTAATTTGAAAATTTTGATAAATATAAGAAATAAGTCTTATATTTAGAATCAAAATTAACTTAGTAATTAGATCCTATATTAAAGACAAGAGAAGTATTTTTTATAATAAGAGATGGATAGATTGTGATACTAGAGATTAGAGGAAATAATGTTTTTTGAACTTCTTTTATTAATAAAAGCAAATTATTAGATTCCTTCCAACAAATAACTTTTTCTTTTGGTCTCAGGGGTAGAAATAGGTCAAGCGGCCTGTAAATGGCCTAATCTGGCCTGGCCTATTTAGATATCAGAACAGGCTCAAGCCTATAAAAAAAACTTGTTTACTTTATCAGGCTAGGCTCAGACCTGATAGTAAGCCTATGAGGCCTGTTAGGCGCCCTGAGCCTGTTATCTTTTTTTTAGGTTAAAATTGTAAACTGACGGGAGGGAATATGCTATTCTGATTGGTTAATTGAGAAAACTCCACCCACATAAATGTGTTATCTAGAGCCTATTTCATGCCTCATTTCATTTTCATTCTCTATAATAAAAATAATTGATGTATATATAATGACACATATTTGAACAAAGAAAGAAAACATAAGTGCATTAAAAAAAAAAAAGCATCATTTATTTATTTGATCCATACTTTTCATATTAATCTTATATAGAACATATATATATATATATAAATATATATATATATATATATATAGAATTGACCTATTATGTTTTAGACCGTATATTTGTGTTCTCAATCTAATTCTTATTATAATAGTTGCTTAATTAATTTAAATAAATAAATTACAATAAATGGAACATTTTTTTTTTAAAACAACCATATGTAACAACAAGATCAAATATCATTTTGTTAGTAAATTAGTTTGAATAAATGATAAATTTAAAATATAAAAGGGATTAAGGATGTTTCATATTTTAAACTAGATCTAGTCACCAACTAATTTTTATACTAAAAATGGGATGAAGTGATATTTTTATATCAGAGTAAAATTATGTTTTCTAATAATTTTTCATATTAGAATTTTTTTGGGCCTAAGGGGACATGTTTTACAAATTGTGTTAATTTGATAATTTCATATTTTTTGTTTGTATTGAATTATTGTAATTTTAAATTGATTTATGTGTGTGTTGAAAATTTGTTAAAAAAACAAGCCTCTTAACAGGCCACAAGCCAAGCCTGATTATAGGTCAGGCTCAGGTCGATTAAAAGATATTTCACAGGCCGCAGGTCAAGTTCAGGCCAACAAGTCTCACCACAGGCTAGGCCTGTTAAGAGTGAGACCTGGTCTGTTTTCATCTCACCCACCTTGATTCAACCTGCCGGCTAAGGATGTGTTTGGAATCACATCTGGACCTTCAAACTGACTTCTCTACCGGCAAAAGGAGCTTTTTTGATTTGGGATGTGTTTGAAATCACATTTTTGCAATCTGACTTCTGTCACTGAAACGGACTTATACAATAAGCTCAAAGAAGCTGCTTTTATCTAATTTGACTTCTGTAAAAATCATATTGAAAAAAAAGTTACTTCTCCACTGCTAATCCAAACACACCCTAAAACACCCCTGGGCTGCCGGACACAAAACAGAGAACACACACACAAAACAACAAAAAGCAAAAAGCCTTACTCTATCTCTTTAATTATGTATGGCTTCATCTTCCGCGTGTCTCGTGTTTCCCTTTTTTAAAGATCGGCAGCGTGTCTCGTGGAACTAAAAAATTGGCCCCATTTTAATTTATATTTTTTGTGGTTTTTAAACATTTTACTTTCTCCTGTTCTTATTTTAAACTTAAAATGAATAACAAATAATTAACTGAATATACTTAAATATAATAACTGAACATTAAGACGCGGGAACTCCATTATTACAGATTATGCGAAGAGAAGAAAAATTAGCAGTGAAGAAGCCGCACTGAGAATCATTAATTATAGTACTGTGGGATTAATTATGATGGCTCATTCATTCGAGTAATTAAAGGCGAAAGGGCCAACATATAAAGCTTTAATGAATGTACCGATATTACGAGAAGATGTAACAGGGACACACAGGTGGAACTCATGCAAGGCTTCTTCCTCATCGGCACCGTTTCACTGTAAGAAACCTAGCCGATGAAGTTAATGTTTCAACGTCGACATTTATGACACCCATGCACGATACCGATTAAGAGGACGACACACAAATGGAAATCATGCAAAGGTTTAATTTCTTCCTCAGTGCCTATCTGAGTGATGTTAAAACTCTTGCACAATTAATGGCTACACACTATCCAAAGTACCTAACTAATGTTATACTTTATTCAGTTCAAAATATAAGAACTTGTTGAAGAATGAATTTGGTCATAAATATAAAACTCTGATTCACCTTGTTTCCAACATTTATCTATTTTATTCCCAAGTAATCTCTATGGTGATTACATATGTTAATGAGTTTTTATTAAATGGCAGTTCCAATGCATATTATTAATAGGAGTATTTAAAAAAAGACAATATCTGTAATTTTTGCAAATTAATTATCTACCTCTTACATTAAGAACCACAGATAGTATTTTTCTGTAGTCTTGGCCTTCAAATGCTCTTTGGTTGTACGTTGAGGTTCAAGGCAATGTTGTATTGCTGAATCTTTACAGGTACTTTGTAAGTAATGAGTGTTCTTTTAGCTATAAGACTTGTTTTGACCTTAATGAACCTATTCACCAGGGACAAAGCCACGTTGGCAAAAACACGTAAGCTAATGAGAAACAGTTACATGTGATGAAACGAACACGTCTCTGTTATTGATATTTTCTGCAGCACCAAGTTACGAGGCGGAATCCACGCAAAGGTTCTTCATGTTTGAGGCTTGAATGTGAAAATTGTCTGGGTCTCTGTTTCTGAAACCGATTAGTACAGGAACTCATCTTTATATGTTTTAGCTTCATCAACTTTCAAAATCAGTACGTTAAAATTCTGGACGGTCCACGTTACTTATCGAGTGATGAGCGCTAGGTTCTCATCACTAGATGAGCACCAAAACCGGGTCATACCACTTCCCTTGATGCTCGAATGAAATATATGGCTGCTAAACAAACACACACATATGAACCACATTTTGTGATTTTATATATACAGGACTCTTGGAAATCTCAAAATGTGACCTTACGTATATATATATATATATATATATAGACTTCGCTGTTGTGAGATGTTTCTAATTAAAAATTAAGCTCTATCCTTTTTGGGTTCTAGTTATGTAACGTGGCCTTGATCTTCAAGTACTGTTTCATAATCGGGGCCTCAAGGTAAGGAGTTTTGCTCATTATTGGTTAGTCAGAAAACTGAGAAATGACAAGCAAGGTTATAGAATTAATGCTTTTATTATATATAACACATACATTTATTACTTAACATGCCAACATCTCATATAGATAGTTTTATCTAAGCACATAACACACTTGTACACACATATATGGGGTTACCGGCTACAAAGTGTTAAAGAGCGTGATGCTTTTATTTAAAAGTCGTAACCCACCAAAGCTAGAGACTAGCCTAGCTTGCTTAGCGAGAAGCCTTAAGCTCGTTATTTCTTGGAACCCAAGAGATAGCTCCGGATCCCAAGAAATGGCAAACTGGCACTGTTCCTGGTAGGACTTTGAGTTGATGGAACAACTTATGGGGATCCATACCTCTTGTATCACGATGGCAAAGAGCCACTATATTTGTTCTCGTGCCATCAGCAGCTTTCATGGGAACTATGTAAGTGATTGTTGCATTCACTTGATGACAGTAAAACACAGGCTTCTTGAAATTCAACTTGTGACACATCACACCTTCACTTGAAACCCTCTGAACACCCTCCAATATTGTGTACTGAGTTTGATGAGGCACAAAGGAGCTTGTGAGTGCTTCAATTTCCTTCCCCAACTTTGAAATGACGAAATCAAGTAATGATTTCACAGACTCTGCACAAAACTTGCCATCTTCCCCAACAAACCTTTCCTTAACATTGCATATTTTTTTCAATCTTAAACTCTTAGGCTCATTATTTACCATTGTCTTTCTTTTCCACGTACCGACTCCATAAGGTTGATTTAAACTTGACTTGTCAACATCCACTGTGTTTTTTTTCCACGTACCGACTCCATATGGTTGATTTAAGATTGACTCTTTATCATCCACCACGCTTCTTTTCCATGTACCAACTCCATAAGGTTGATTCAAGCTTGACTCTTTATCATCCACTGTGCTTCTTTTCCACGTACCGACTCCATAAGGTTGATTCAAACTTGACTGATCAACATCCTCCTCACTTCTTTTCCACATACCGACTCCATAAGGTTGATTCAAGCTTGATTGGTCAACATCTACGGTGCTTCTTTTCCATGTGCCAACTCCATAGGGTTGATTCAAGCTTGACTCATCATCATCCCCCGCGCTTCTTTTCCATGTACCAACTCCATAGAGTTGATTCAAACTAGACTTTCTATCATCCACTATGCTTCTTTTCCATGTACCGACTCCATAGGGTTGATTTAAGCTCAACTCGTTAACATCCACTGTGCTTCTTTTCCATGTACCGACTCCATAAGGTTGATTCAAGCTTGACTTGTCAACATCCATTATGTTTCTTTTCCATGTACCAACTCCATAAGGTTGATTCAAGCTTGACTTTTCTGATAAAACATTCCAAGATTGAGAAGATAAGGACTTCTCTGGATCTTTCTCCACAATATCAATTTTCTGCTCCTCATTAGCATAAGGGCTCTTGAATATTATGTTCATTTGTTTGCCAGCGTGAAGGTCTTCTTCAAAGAAGCTGGTATAGGGATATTGCGTATCTTCTTTCTCTGCATCGTTCACACCTTTGACGCATTCCCAAATGAATATTTGTTAATTAAAGATATAATAGAACCATAAAAAAACATGCATGCACTATAAATGGTGAGAAAACCTTTGGAATCATCAACATCGTGTTTTGAAATTAACGATGGTATATTCATCAATATTATAAGTAGTAAGGATAGAGTAGGTAAGATGAATGGAGGTATAGGATTTAAATCCTTTTCATTTAAGGGGGAAAAAATCTTTTTATTGAAGAACACCAAATAATCACATAGGTTCATTTAATTAATTTTTTCATGGTATTATTAACACATGAATATTTCGCATACATATGCCTATATCCAAAAAAAAATTTCATGGTATTATTAACACATGAATATTTCGCATACATATGCAAAGAAATTGTGGAGGTGATGTTTCATTCCCCAATTTTTTTGCAGGGGAAAAATTGAAGTTTATATAAATTTTTCTCTCCCCCCCAAAAAAAAAATTTCTTCATTCTTTCCTATAGATAATATTGTTGATATGGATCCGTTAAAAACATGGAATTGGAATAAAAATGTGAGAATCTTAAGTACTAACCAGACCCCAAAAGATACTCCAAATTCTTAGGCATAGAAGTGTCTGGCCAGATTGAATGCCAGTATTCACGATTGGATGGGTAGAGATACAGGATTTGAGTCCTTTTAATGTTTTTTTTTTTTGAAAAAAATCTTTTTTATTGAAGAACACAATAATAATAGGAGAAATTCTTAGGTGCATCCAGAGCAGAGCACCACATCATTCATGCACTGCCCAATAAAATCACAACATATCAGAGGTCTCTATCCTACATGTCAACTTAGCTGGCAGCTTTTTGAATCCCGATTTTCTCTCTTCCACTTTCCAAATTTGCCGTCTCTCCTACTTTTTTTTTTTCTCCCTGATTAACAGTCACATCGTCCTTCTCTCTCCCTTTCTCACAACACACAGGTCCCACACACTTCCGTATATCTCCGTCTCTCGCATCTGCTTATGGATCCCAAATCCCAGCTGATCATGCCCTCCCCCCTCCCGATTTCACCCCACTCATACACAAGCATCAACAGATTTTTGTGTTTTCTTTTTCATTTGGATATTTTCAGCCTTTACAGGTAAATTTTTATAGCGAATGAAATTTCAAATTTATATTATTTTCATTTATAAAGTCTCATATTTTTGTTTATTTTTAAATTTAATTTGAATCAAAAGTAATATTAAATTTAAATAATAATGATTAATAACTTGAAATTTGGCATTATTTTGGTTTTAATTTCTAAAATTTAATTTGATTTGATTAGTTTAATGATTTTTTATCTTTGAAATGGTTTTTTTACTTTTAGTCCAGCTAAAACAAAACCATTTCTTTCTTTTTTTGCCTGAAAAAACAAAATCATTTCAAACACTAAAATTAAAATAAAGTGAAATTTCAAAAACTAAAATATTATTAACCCTTTTCCAAATTAAATGATATTTATAAATTTTAAATAAATTGTATGAGAGAAAAGGTCATAAAAACATTTAATTTAGATATCTTTAACAGGAAGCAAAAGATGTGCATGTCTGTGTGGGACTTGTGAGATATGGAAGGGAAGAGAGATTGGAAGAGAGAGAAGGACGATGTGACTACTGATCAGCAAAAAAGTAGGAGAGAGTCAGGAAATTTGTAAAGTGCGAGAGAGAAAATTGGGATTCAGAAATCTGCCAGCTAAGTTGACATGTAGGATAGAGATATCTGATATGTTGTGATTTTATTGGGCAGTACATGAATGATGTGGTGCTCGGGCTGACCCAAGAATTTCTCTAATCATAGGGGTTGATTTGCCCTGATAATAATGCCATTATCTAATTTTTAACCCATTTCTTAAGTAATGTCAAGAAAAATAAATTAAATTAAAATTATTTTTATATTTTATTTTAAAATCAAAATATTAATAAAAATATATTAACTTACAAACTAAAATAATTAAAAATTTTAAATGAAAATGAGGAACATAATAAATTAAGACTAGAATACAAAGAAATTTTAGAAAACATCAGGCTCCAAAATCTCTCCAACTTTTGGGGAGAAAATTTGGGGGTAAAACTACGTGGGCCCGATACTATTTTTCTCTCCTCACTTTTTTCTTCTCATATTTTCTCCTCTAATCTAAATAAGGGAATATCTATTCTCCCCCATTTTCTCACTTGCTTTTTTTCTTGTCCTGATTTTCTCTCCATCCAAATACACAATAAGAGTTACGTTTCTATAAATTTTCATTTTTTCCCCCCTCAACTCTTTCTCCTTCGTTACTTCCTTCAACACTGAAGAACATATTTGAACCCGTTAAAAGCATGAAATTTAAATAGAGATATGAGAATTTGAAGTACTAACCAGACTCCAAAAGATACTCTAAATTCTTAGGCAAGGGAGTGTCTGGCCAGATTGAATGCCAGTATTCTTCGGCCGAGCGTGACGATGTCGCACCACTCCCAGTAAGAGCAAACTGCAAATCATATTATTGCATAACGAAGCTGCCATTTAACTTTATGAAATATCTAAGAGTATTGTGATACATATACATATATATATTTATATATAATATAACTAAAACATGCAAGAAGCTAATAGTATGAGTAGAAGCATTATTAACGTTTGCCTTCTGATGAAGAAAAGAAGCTTACACATAGCAGGAGAGCAAGAACACCAAAACGAAGCAGCCCCATAGAGAGAATTTGAAGTCTAGAACGAGCAAGTGAAGTGAGAGGCACTGAACCATTGAACCAAGTTGCTTCCTTTATAGAGACGGATTGGCCATTGTAGAATAATTAAGGGAAACACATGAATAACAATAATGAAACACGTGACAATAAGTTAGTTCAATAATTTAGCCTGAAAAAATATTGAAGTATACATTTGGTAAATTAACTTTATATAACGTTCCAATTTGATCCGTTAATTTTAAAAAGTATATTTTTAATCTTTTAACTCTAAAATCATTAAGTTTAAATAATCAGTTTCTGTAATAATCATGGATAATTGTTTTGAAAATTAAACTTAATATATTAGCATTTAAAAATATTTTATCAATATTTAAGATCTCAATATCATTTTTTTTTTAAAATAACTTTATGGTTAAAAGATTAAGAACTTTCTAAAGTTGATGGACCAAATTAAAACTTTGTATAAAGTTAAATGATCAAATATATATTTTAGCCATAAAAATATAAGAGATAATGTGAACTAAGATCATTTAGGAAAGACCAAATTCAACTTCCTAACTAGTTTTTCCATTTGTTCCTTTTTATAAGAAATAAATCTCTCTCATAGTAGTGTCCTTAAATATAAGAAACAAATTCTTTCTCTAAAATTTTAAATTGGTCTATCCACTTTGACCTCATAATATATGCCATTTATTATCCATGTAATAAATTTTTACTCATCATCTCTCATATATTTTTTCTTTACAAAATAAGATATAATTGAACAAATATGTACATAGCATTATTATACATGTTTATTGCTTTTACCTAAATATAACTAATATTTTAAATTGTGTGATTTTAATAGTTACTCCTCCGGTCCTTAATATAAGACCTATTTAACTAATTTGATAATATTAAGGAAGTTAGAGAAATTAGTTAATTATAAAAAATATGACATATTTTTTTCTAAAACACTATAATTATCTTTCTTAATATCTTTTCTCCTTCACTTACTTGATTATGGTTGAGAAAATATTTATAGGGGTAATTTGAAAATTTTGATAAATATGATAAATAAGTCTTATATTTAGAACCAAAATTAATTTAGCTATTGGATCCTATATTAAAGCCAAGAAAAGTATTTTTTATAATAAGAGATGGATAGATTGTGATGCTAGAGATAAGAGGAAATAATGGTTTTTTAACTTCTTTCATTAATAAAAGCAAATTATTAGATTCGTTCCAACAAATAACTTTTAAAGCCAAGAGAAGTATTTTGGTCTTAGGGGTGGAAATAGGCCAAGCGGCCTGTCAGGGGCCTATAGCCTGGCTTGACCTATTTAAATATCAGAATAAGCTTAGGCCTGTAAAAAAACCTATTTAGTTTATCAGGCCAGGCTCAAGCCTGATAGTAAGCTTGTTAAGCCTGTCAAGCGGCTTGGACCTGTTATCTTTTTTTTTTTTTAGGTTAAAATTGTAAATTGACAGGAGCGAATATGCTATTCTGATTAGTTAATTGAGAAAACTCCACCCACATAAATGTGTTATCTAGAACCTATTGCATGCTTCATTTCATTTTCATTCTCTATAATAAAAATAATTGGTGTATGTATAATGACACATATTTGAACAGAGAAAGAAAAACATAAGTGCATTAAAAAAAAAATAAAAGCATCATTCATTTATTTGATCCATGCTTTTCATATTAATCTTATATAGAATATATATATATAAATATATATATATATCAGTGTAAAAAAAACCGGACCGGACCGGACCGGCCGGTTCAACCGGTAAACCGGTGAACCGGTCAGTGGTCCGGTCCGGTTCATAAGCTAAACCGGGGACCGGTTCAAACCGGATTGAACCGGTCAAACCGGTGTGAACCGGTGAAAACCGGTATGAACCGGTATTGAACCGGTTTAAATAAATATATTGATATTTATCCTATTTTTTCTCATTTAACTCCTAATATCTCAATTATTATAGATTTAAATGAATTTTGATGATGAGTTTGGCATCAATAACTATTAATTTTAGTTATTGAAAAAATTATAAAGATCAAAATTCTCAATATTGTTGTACTTTATTATTATTACAATCAAATTCTTATTGTATTTCTTTATATTTTGTTATTAGTAATTATTATTATTGTTATATTTTGTCATTTTTAATTAAATTAAATTATTTTAATATGACCGGTTTGATCCCGAGTTGACCCCGGTCTGACCCATTAACCCTTGAACCACTACCTCAACCGGTTTAGTGTCCGGTCCGATTTTTTGTTCCTTGATATATATAGAATTGACCTATTATGTTTTAAACCGTATATATGTGTGCTCAATCTAATTCTTATTATAATAGTTGCTTAATTAATTTAAATAAATAAATAAATTACAATAAATGCAACATTTTTTTTAAAACAACTATATGTAACAACAGGATCTAATATCATTTTGTTAGTAAATTAGTTTGAATAAATGATAAATTTAAAATGTGAAAGGGATTAAGGATGTTTCATATTTTAAACTAGATCTAGTCACCAACTAATTTTTATACTAGAGATGGGATGAAATGATATTTTTATATCAGAGTGAAATTATATTTTCTAATAATTTTTTATATAAGATTTTTTAGGGCCTAAGAGGACATGTTTTACAAATTGTGTTAATTTGATAATTTCATATTTTTTGTTTATATTTTAGATAAATTGGGTTGAATTATTGTAATTTTAAATTGATTTATGTGTGTTTAAAATTTGTTAAAAAAACAAGCCTCTTAACAGGTTATAGGATAGGCCTGATTCTAGACCAGACTCAAACTGATTAAAAAGTCTTTCACTGACCGCAGGTCAGGTTTAAGCCAACATGCCTCATTACAGGTTAGGTCTGTCAAAGACGAGGCCAGGTTTGTTTCCATGGCTAGGTCTCGCCCACCCTGATTCGAACTGCCAGCTAAAACACACCCCCGCTCTCGGGGCCGCCGCCCCCGCTCACGCTCAAGACACAAAACAGAGAACACACACACAAAACAACAGAAAGCCTCAATGTATCTCTTTAATTATGCGTGGCTGAATCTTCCGCGTGTCTCGTGTTTCCTTTTTCTAAAGGGAAAATTACACTCAGGTCCCACAGAACACAATTAATATCAAAAAGGTCCCTCGAAATCGCGAAATGATTCTGAAGTCCCCAGGGACCTGTGTGTAATTAATTCTAATTGTGAAATTACATAGTTACCCCTGTTAATTTGAACCTATTTACAACCTCAACAGTGGCTATTAACAACCCGAGAAGAGGTGGTTAACAACCTCAACAACGCCCCTGGTATTCCACAGAGTGAGTTGTCATGAGCACTGTCGAGGTTGTCAATCACGTCTTCTCGGGTTGTTAACAGCACTGTTGAGATTGTAAATAAAATTAGAACCTATTTACAACATCAACAGTGGCTGTTAACAACCCGAGAAGAGGTGGTTAACAACCTCAACAACGCCCCTGGCATTCCACAGAGTGAGTTGTCATGAGCACTGCCGAGGTTGTCAATCACATCTTCTCGGGTTGTTAACAGCCACCGTTGAGATTGTAAACGAATTGTTGCAATAAAATTAACAGGAGTAAGTAGGTAATTTCACAATTAGAATTAATTACACACAGGTCCCTAGGGACTTCAGAATCATTTCGCGATTTTGTGAGACCTTTTTGATATTAATTATACTCTGTGGGACCTGAGTGTAATTTTCCCTTTTTTAAAGATCGGCAGTGCGTTTCCTGTTTCTCATGTGTCTCGTGGAACTAAAAAATTGGCCCCATTTTAATTTATATATTTTGTGGTTTTTAAACATTTTACTTTCTCCTGTTCTTATTTTAAACTTAAAATAAATAACAAATAATTAACTGAATATACTTAAATATAATAAATAGGTTAAGAATATACTTTTATTTTTAAGTGTGCCCTTGTAATAAAAAAAATGATAAAAGAAAATATGTGTGAAAATATGGTAGGAAAGAATATGATAAACGAGAGGGAATAAATAATTTAGGATAAAATTATAAAAATATATTAAATGTTAAAACAGACTTAAATTAAAACTTAATTATAAAATGGACCATATGATTTCCTAAATTTAAAGCTTATAAGTACATAAGAGAGTATTGTAATTATAGTGTGTCTCTTAATTCACAGAAAAATCTGCTGGCTAGATTTCATTGTACGTTGGTAATTGTTTTCATGTGCCTAAATTATGTTTTGTTTTTGTTGCCCAGAGTATCCTCTCACCTGAACAGTAAAAGACTAATCTCTTGAAGTACTGTCAAACCCAGAACATGATATTTAAGGCGTCCAAGTCCTTTCCACTTAGACTAACACTTGTTGGTAAATTGAGTTTAGAAACAGTCATTTTATTCATGGGCAAATTTTTCCTTTTGGTGATAATTCACTGGCAAATATATAAAAACAGTAAACAGACTCTCACAATCACGTTATTTGATCGTTTCATAAAAAGACATGATCGATCTTCACGTTATTATATTAAGTATTAACCCCAAGTTATTATTATTTTTATTTGATCAAGAATTTTTTTCTTTCAAGATTTAAAGCGTAAAGGATTTTTGCAAATGCATTTTCATGGATTCGAACTTGTGTTCTCTTGTTTACAGGAGAGTGACTACTTACCACTTCAATTAACAGCTTGTTGATAACACTAAATTATTGTTAATCATTATGCTGTGAATTTTTTTTAAAAAAATTCCATACAAACAAGCTAATTTACGTTTTGTAACTAAATAAGATTTTTGTCATCAACATCACCTCCGTGTTTGGATTTCAATTGGCCGAGCTAATTATTTTGAAAATATCATTTTCTTTATATTGATTTTCCGAATTTAGTAAATAATTTTAATTTTTGAAATATATCCCAATAAATATCATCTCCCCAGGTCCTTCGATTTAAATTTTCCTTTTAAAATTCCAGGTTTTGTTATTTTGTATCTCGGTTGATTCGATTTATTTGGATTTGATTTTATTTAGTTATTAATAATTGTGACTTTTCTAATATATTTATAAAATTTGTAGAGAATCATGTTGTTTACGGATTATGAATATGATTAATTTCTTTTGCTAATGAGGATAGCATTGGATGCTTTTGTTTCAAACTCAATCTTAGCCGTTCCATTAATTAAAATTAATCTCGTGTATCAAAATTAAAATTAAAATTAATCTCAACAGTTTCTCCATTTATACGCATATAATCACATATCAAAGAAATAAATTGATCTGATAATTGATTTACATAAAAGATTTTGAGATATAATATCAATGTCAACCTTGCAATATGCATCCATATATCAAATAAAGCATCTTTAAAAAGAAATATTTTATTTGAATGTAAAGGGAAAGCTTCGAGTGTTTTCGAAAAGCATTAAATAATCACAATCTATTCACAGCATTAAGTATAATCAAATGGATTTTAAATTAGAAAAACTGAAAAAAAATTCCTAACTGGAAAGTTAATTGTGTAAAAGTAAGTAACAATCTAAATCTTTTGAGTGAGTGCAACCAATCTTTACTAGGTAAAAATTTTATTCAGTGTATGCAACATATCTCAAGGCCTTAGCTATGCGCGTTACAAGATTAAACCAGTAACTTACCACTTAATTTTCATATCATTAGGCTATAAAGTCATGAACATATTAATTATGTGTTCAATATTGTCGCTATGGTTATCATTTCATTATATATTTTTGTCTAATTGTTATAATTGCAATATGTTTACCCTCTAAAATTGGCTAATACAAATTTTGATTTTTTAAGTCTAGTCTCATACAAATTTTTATTTTTTAAGTTTAGTCTCATTTTATTTTTGGTCCATCAAATTTCAAATCATAAGTTTTGATCTTTCAAATTTTTTTTTATTTAAAATATTAGTCTCTATAATCTAATAAAAACTTGAACCATTTTATCCCTTAAAAAAGTAAAATCTATAGTTTGAAATTTGAAGGACTAAAACCAAATGAGAACAAATTTGATGGATGACCAAGAATTATATCAACCCTTTAAAATTTTTAGCAATTTTAAAAATTGAACTGTAACGTACGTTGGTTTTAAAAATACAGGGAAGTTCAGGTTAATAATTATTAGAGCTAATAATTGTGATTGAGATATTTGCAAGATGACTAATAGAGCCGCGGGCAAAACCAAAAAACAAAATTACACTGCTGATAATGTATATATTAAAAAATAATTATACTTCGCAAGTAATGATCCACCCAATCTTTGAAAATCTTGAGAAAGTGAAAGCTAAGTTGATTGATAGCATGTTTTGTAGTAAATTATTTTTAGTCATCAAGATGATCATTCATTATGCGAAAAAAAGATTAATGTGATTTTTTAATGAATTTTACATTATATATAATTTGAATATAAAATTAAATTGGTATTTAATAAAAAAATAAATAGCCAGCATAAATGACATGTGTAAAATAATTTTTTTAATACATTGGCTAAGATCATTTTGATTACGTTATTATTTGTCATTAATTAAAGACAAATATATGTATATATTTTAATTTAGTACTCCATCCGATTCAAAATATAACATCAAATTTTCTTAGAGCATTAATATTTTATATAATGAAAATGATAATGTCCTTATAATTAATAAAATTTCAAAAAAGGACATTTTTATTTACTAATTTTCTCTCAGTTTATTTAAAAAACTGACGAAAAAACTCTACTTTGTATATCATTTTTCTAATCAATGTATAATTGCTAAAAAATAAGATATTATATGCTTCGATAATTTTTTTTTATCACTAAGTAACGTAAAAAATTCTTTTTATAATAACCGCGTCAAAATAAAAGGAAAAGAAAAGTAGCTGACCAGAAATCGAACACTTTCAAATTGAAACCCAGAATACCAAAATTATTGCAGAGGATTTATTTGATAAAGTTTACATATGTCACTTTTGGGGATTTGATAACAAGAAAATGCTTCTAGCACAAATATATTCTATACTCACATTTAATTTCTATATTTGATAATATTATATATATTCATCCAAAATAAAAGTCATCTTCCAAATTAAATCCCCTTCACTTGGGCGGGGGCCCTGGTGGCACGGTGAAATCTGCAAAACATTGAAACAATAGTTAAGGAATACTTGTTTCCAATAGTTAATGTACAAATTTGGCAGCAATATTGTCTCCTGAGTTATTTTAGATTTAATATCGTTGTAAAAGTTTTAAAACATGGCAATGTTGTTGCTCCACTCAGCTTTAAAAAAAAAATTGATATTGAATGTTAACATTTTTAATGATAGGGGTAACATTGCTCAATTTTAACATTTTGATGTTTTGAACTCAAAAATTTTTTTGGAACAACATTGTTCTTTAATGAAAACGTTCAGAATAAAGTTGCACTTTAACCCTTCTTATGAAAGGTTCTCAATTTAGAGCCTTATAATAAAAGAAATTAATCACATTATATAGGGGAAAAAACTAATTCTTATTAGGACTTTACAATGCTCGAATTTAAATTACTCAATAACATAGTACTACCTCCGGTCCTTAATATAAGAGCTAATTAACTAATTTTAGTAGATTAAGAAAATAAGTTAAGTTTATTATTTGTAATAAATATGTGTTGTCTTTTCTAAAATATATTTACTAATCAAATTTATTAGTTAAAACTACCATTATTAGAAGGAATATCTTGAAAAAAAAACTAAATAAATATAAGAGATAAAATGGATTGAGGTCTTATATTTAGAATCAAAATAAAAGTCAAACAAAGTCATATAATAAGAACTGGAGGTAGTACTAGATAGAGAGAGAGAGAGATGAACTTAAGAGTGGGCTTACTTCCGCATTTGAAGCCAGGAGCAAGAGGTTTGCCACAGAAGTTGAAGCAATGCAACACTTTGGGCCAGTCAAGCAGATCTTCTATGGTCTCGTTTGGTGGGATTACTGTTCATAGTGCCCCACACTCATTAATTAAACTATATACTATAGGAATTTTATTATGAAAGAAATTTTACCCAATTCTTTCATGTTATAAGATTTTTGGCATATGACTATTTAGGAAAAATTCCTTTTTGAAGTAGCTATGTTTTTTTCTTAATTTTTAATTTGATACTTATGTATTTTTTCTTTTAATTAAATTTTTGAATTTATTCTATTAGGACCGTTAGTCCTGGTACAAAGAGTAACAAAGCTAATATAGAGCAAAGTTATAGAAGCTAATGGTGATAATAGAGCAAAATTAAAAAATTTAATTTAAGAGAGAAGAACACATGAATATTAAATTAAAAATTGAAGAAAATTATAGGTACTTACAAGATACTCTCAATTGATATTTGAGCATTATATATTAAATTAAAAAAATGAAGATAATAACTTTCCTAACATTTTGGCCAACAAAAACAAACTACCGAAAATAATATTTTTGAATCACAGCAATGTAATGAGTTGTGAAAATATAATATACTTACCAAGGTGGCGAGAGAGTTTGGAGCAAACGCAAGGAACATTGGCTAACTTAATTTCATTGCAACATCGATCATTAGGATCCTGTATTGGGGCATTCCCCTTGTGCATGAAAACCAGACACTCTATTTGTAAGCCTCGAAGATCTCTTTCACAATCTTCTCCTTCTGCTACGCCTGCCATTATTATTCCCATCACTCCCACCACAACACATAACACCACTAATTTCATCTTCAAGTTCTTCATCATTTTCATGTTTGATCCATCCATTTTGACTAGATCTCTTCAATCTCGGATGGAATCTATATACATGTGTGTGTGTGTTGGGGGGGGGGATTAAATGTTTGTATTAATATGGAAGAAGGAGGTGCGTGCATGGTTCATAATGGTGATTTAATGTTGTGAGATTTTTTGTCTATAAAATAGTAAAGTTTTGGGATTTGGTTTTAATGCAATATCCAAGCAATTAATGAGAAAAATTATGGATTTGGATCCTACATAGCAATTTGCTTTTTAATATAACTCACTTATAACGCGTTCGCGTTTCGTGCTCAGCGCTTTAATTTTTTTTTGGCTTTATTTTTGCTTTTTTTAATTTTTGTTTGCTACAAAAAAAAATTATACGAACTCAAAATTTTAATATAAAAACTGTTTTGAAATTTAATGTAGTCTTAAATATAAGACCATAATCCATTTTTCTTTATATATATATCTATTTTTTAAAGATAGTTCTTGTAATAGCTGTACATATTAAAGATTTAATCAATTGGTGATTCTAGTTAATATGCATTATTAGCAAAAATACTTTAGGAAAAAACAACATTTATTTATTACAAATAACTAATTTAGCTAATTTTCTTAATATATTCGAATTAGTCAAACTAACTCTCATATTAAGGATAAGAAAAAGTATGTATTGAAATTATTTTTGATTAAGGTTTATCTAGTACTTTAAAATATTTTTTTAGGTGTTTTCAATACCTTAAAATATTTTATGATTCATTTAATATCTTAAAATATTTTTCACATGCATTTAATGTCTTAAAATATTTTTTATTTCGTGATATTATATCACAAAATATTTTAGAATACTAAATAAATCATAAAAGACTCTAGAATACTAGACCCTAGAATTTTTTTTTTAGGTAGGCCCAATCACAAAGTATTTTAGAATAATGACCGCATATGAAAAAATATTTTAGAATACTAGATGAACTATAAAATACTTTAGAATACTGGATTTTTAAATATTTTTTCAAATATGTTGTCATAAAATACTTTAGAACACTAAATACGCATGAGAAAATATTTTAGGATATTATAAAATACTTTAAAATATTGAACATATCTAAAAAATATTTTAGAATATTAGATAAACCTTAACTAAAAATAATTCTAATAAATATATTTTTTTTGTAGTGAAAAAGAAACAAATAGAAAAAATAAAGGTCCCTCACTATACTGCTCAGCACTCCGTGCTCATCAAGATTATGAGCATGGAATGCAGATCCCACTAATAATTCATTCTTGTCTGTCAAGGAATGTATTAAATTAACAATATTTTAAAAATTTATTCTTATTAAAGTTTTCTCTCTCTATATTTATAAATTATTCTTATATCTCTCCCTTCTCTCTCATACCAATGACAATTAAATAAGGATTAAAAAATAAGTATTAAATATATTATAAGTGAGTTACATTTAGAACTAAAACTTTCCTTTATAAGGACTTATATTTAGAACCAATGTGTTATATGTTCATTCAAATTATTGATTTTGTCCCGTTCTATGATTTTTTTTTTTGCCAACTTGTCCCATTCCATGATACTCTCTAATCTTGTTTATAAGTTACTTTTAACATGTTTTACTTGAATCAATAAAAACATCAAATTTCATTAATTATGTCTTAAAATTCAATAATTTTTTAGTTTTATCCCATATATACACTATCCAAACAATACTCCTTTTGATCTTATTTATAAGTTTTAAATTTGAAGAGAGGTATGATCTATTTCAGAAACTTCAATTTAGGTTTGTATCAACATTTAATGCATTTTTAAATTTTTTCTTAATTATTTATTGTCTCTTCTCTTCCACACACTCTTTCGTTTTATTTCCCCATACATTTTCTTTTATTATATTTTTATTTATTATAAATGCATATTAAGAAACAAAATCATATTTCTTACATATTTATTATGTTTAACTAATTTTAATTAATATTTTGTCACTCCAATACAAATAGTTTATTTGGAGTGATCAGAGGAATTAATAATCTACACAATAATAAATTAATGTAAAATAATACAGTTATGCTAAAAATTTTAATGAAGTACAGTGACTTATAAATAGAATTGTATCAGTGTAAATTAAATTAAATAATACATACAACAGTTTATATCCAGCAAAATGTAAAGTAGATAATGACATAAAATGAAAAGACACAATGCCCAAAACCAAGACAGGCATTTAAAACCATGAAAATTCACAAGCCAGGCCACTTTTCGCTAATTGGCTTTCTATGAAATTATCTCATAGTATTTCGGCAAAAAAGAAACTATCCGACCGTATAAAAGTAGGTTTGAGCATCATATATATATATATATATATTCAATTAATGATGTAAATTGTACTGCAAATTAGATCTTCTATTTAGAAGTGAAAGTAGTCGCTGTGAAAATGTTAGTGTAATAGCCCTACTGACATAAATTTAATTAGGACAAATTATGATATATTTTAATATATATTATACTATCTACAAATCAACATAAAAAGTCTTGACGGATACACTTTTACCTTTAGTATATTAATAAAAATAAACTTAATCTGCTATTTAACATTAGCCAATTGGCATCATACTTAGTTGACTTAAATTTCATAAAACGAAACTCTTATATTCTATTTATAATATGAATTAAGTGAGACAAGTCGCCTTCTAAGTTCTGATAACTAGGGCCTTGTAGCCTAATAACAAAACGGTCTTTTTTTAATGTAAATTCAAAGTATTTTCAGGTCATTTTGGATTTGAAACTAATATCTGTGGAGCCAGAAGTGTTATAGTCTTTTCAACAAATGTGTTTTTCAGAATTTGAACTTGCGTTCTCCTCCTAAAACTGTCTTTTTAAGTGTAAGGTTATAAGTTTGGATATCCTTATGTCCCCTTCTAATAATCCTTATTTAATGTCTTGATGTCGTATAAATCATATGTGAGTGCAAATAGAAAAAGTACAACGTAGCTCACAAAAACAGAATTAGGTTTCAAATTAAAAAAAAAAAAACGAAACAGCCAATATTATTGCAGACGATTTTATTTCATGAAGTTTAGAAGCTGCTTTCACTATATAAGTATTATATATCTCATCGTCCAACATGCCCTATCTACCAAATCTTCACATGGGTGGTGGCCCTGGGGGAACTGTGAAATCTGAAAAACATTAAAAATAATAGTTAAAGACCAATAATGATGATTAATAATTTGGGAATGGGTGGGTATTTCTTTTAGAAATTAAAAGGTTTCTTATAATGAAAAATAAATAAATATAGTGAAAGAATTAATTTTCATTTAGACCTCACAAATATTGAATTTGAAATAATGAGCAAAGTACTTACGTGCACATTTGAAGCCAGGCTGAAGAGGTTTGCCGCAAAACTTAAAGCAGTGCAACACTTTGTTCAGTCAAGCAGATCTTCTATGGTAGAATTGGGTGGCATCTCTGTTCACAATAATATACCACCACATATCCAAATTAATTACTATCTCCAGTCTTTAATATAAGACCGAACTAATTAATTTAGATAGATTAAGAAAGCTAAATAAATTACTTTAAATATTTATATTTATCGTTTTTTTCTAAACTAATTTGCCTAACTTATAAATTGATATATAATCAAATGATATACATAAGTATTTCAAAGACATCATGTAACATATGCTATAATAAATTCATTATTTAACCTCTTTAATTTTTTTAAATTAGTTAATTAAGTATTATATTAAAGACCGGGGATAATACTTAATAAATCTATATGTTGAGGTCAGATTCTTTTGGAAAATGAATTACATAGAATTCTTAATGTAAACTAACGTTCTTTGCAAAAACTGTAATATCCCAATTTTTATTATTATTATTATTATTATTATTCCTAGTGTTTAGTTAAGTTTAGAAGGAGTTTAATGCTTGATAAATGAGTTTTATTCTCCATTTATTTAAGAAAAGAGAATTATTGAAAATAAGATTTATAAAATATGTATATGGAAATTACTGAATAATAATAATAATAAAACGGATTAAAAAAAAAAAGGGAAAAAACGGGGTACAAACTATAATTTTGTCCCATTTTAATATGGGGTCTTTAACTGGAATTTATGCCAAAATATTATTTTAACCGTTGGAGGGGCCAGAGAGAGAAACATTTCGACGTCTTTCTTTTTCACCTTCTCCGGCGCCTTCTCTTATTTTTTCCAGTAGGGTTTCAACTTTGCAGATCATTTTGGTAAGCTAAATGACTTCTTTTCATTAAACTCTCTTCATGAAAGTTTTTCCACTCATCTAAATCTATCTAATGATGATAGTTTTATACTGTTTAGAGATAATTTTTGGGTTTAGGGTTTGAAGCAAGTGTTGAGTTTTGATGATAGATAAGCATAGTATTGTAGAGCTATTTTAGTAGATCATTTCTATCAGTTTAGTTTTATTTATTGACTGACCTAATATTTTTAAATGAATTATTTTAGTTAAACAGATATTTATTTATGAAAAATATGATATTTATACCATGAAACTGTTGATTAAATTATTTACTTAGATGCATTTGATGTATATTGAATTTCTAATGGTTGGTTTTTGAGATTTAAAGTTAAAACAGGATTTTGAATTTTAAATATTATATTTTCAGATTTTAAAATTTGAGAAAAATCTGTATTAAAGTAAATAATTTGAAAGGTTTAAATGAAAATTTTGGATTGTGAGGATATATAAATTTTGTGCTAAAAGACTTAATTATGGGTTATGAGAGGTTTGGGTTTAGCATAGAATTAGAAATTTTAACTTATATATATATGTTTTAGTTTAAGTAATTAATCAAATAGCTTGTGTATTGATATGTAAATGTATTGGTTGTGTAGATTAAATTATTGGGCTATTGGTATGAGCACGGGGTTAACCTTGTGGTAATACTTGTTCTAGACAAGAGGTAACCACTTTCCACTTATTATTCATGTTTGTAGGTTGTTTGTGATTAATTTTGAATTATAAGGAATTTATGAAATAT